TTCCAAACTGACCCCGCCACAATGTTGACCCCGCCACAATGTTGACCCCGCCACAATGTTGATCACGCCACAATGTTGACCACGCCACAATGTTGACCACGCCACAATGTTGACCACGCCACAATGTTGACCACGCCACAATGTTGACCACGCCACAATGTTGACCACGCCACAATGTTGACCACGCCACAATGTTGACCACGCCACAATGTTGACCACGCCACAATGTTGACCACGCCACAATGTTGACCACGCCACAATGTTGACCACGCCACAATGTTGACCACGCCACCTCATTGATCACGCCACAATGTTGACCACGCCACAATGTTGACCACGCCACAATGTTGACCACGCCACAATGTTGACCACGCCACAATGTTGACCACGCCACAATGTTGACCACGCCACAATGTTGACCACGCCACAATGTTGACCACGCCACAATGTTGACCACGCCACAATGTTGACCACGCTACCTCATTGATCACGCCACAATGTTGACCACGCCACAATGTTGACCACGCCACAATGTTGACCACGCCACAATGTTGACCACGCCACAATGTTGACCACGCCACAATGTTGACCACGCCACAATGTTGATCACGCCACAATGTTGACCACGCCACAATGTTGACCACGCCACAATGTTGACCACGCCACAATGTTGACCACGCCACAATGTTGACCACGCCACAATGTTGACCACGCCACAATGTTGACCACGCCACAATGTTGACCACGCCACAATGTTGACCACGCCACAATGTTGACCACGCCACAATGTTGACCACGCCACCTCATTGATCACGCCACAATGTTGACCACGCCACAATGTTGACCACGCCACAATGTTGACAATGTTGACCACCACAATGTTGACCACGCCACAATGTTGACCACGCCACAATGTTGACCACGCAATGTTGACCACGCCACAATGTTGACCACGCCACAATGACCACGCCACAATGTTGACCACGCCACAATGTTGACCACCACGCCACAATGTTGACCACGCCACAATGTTGACCACGCCACAATGTTGACCACGCCACAATGTTGACCACGCCACAATGTTGACCACGCCACAATGTTGACCACGCCACAATGTTGACCACGCCACAATGTTGACCACGCCACAATGTTGACCACGCCACAATGTTGACCACGCCACAATGTTGACCACGCCACAATGTTGACCACGCCACAATGTTGACCACGCCACAATGTTGACCACGCCACAATGTTGACCACGCCACAATGTTGACCACGCCACAATGTTGACCACGCCACAATGTTGACCACGCCACAATGTTGACCACGCCACAATGTTGACCACGCCACAATGTTGACCACGCCACAATGTTGACCACGCCACAATGTTGACCACGCCACCACGCCACAATGTTGACCACGCCACAATTGATGTTGACCACGCCACAATGTTGACCACGCCACAATGTTGACGCCACGCCACAATGTTGACCACGCCACAATGTTGACCACGCCACAATGTTGACCACGCCACAATGTTGACCACGCCACGCCACAATGTTGACCACGCCACAATGTTGACCACGCCACAATGTTGACCACGCCACAATGTTGACCACGCCACAATGTTGACCACGCCACAATGTTGACCACGCCACAATGTTGACCACGCCACAATGTTGACCACGCCACAATGTTGACCACGCCACAATGTTGACCACGCCACAATGTTGACCACGCCACAATGTTGACCACGCCACAATGTTGACCACGCCACAATGTTGACCACGCCACAATGTTGACCACGCCACAATGTTGACCACGCCACAATGTTGACCACGCCACAATGTTGACCACGCCACAATGTTGACCACGCCACAATGTTGACCACGCCACAATGTTGACCACGCCACAATGTTGACCACGCCACAATGTTGACCACGCCACAATGTTGACCACGCCACAATGTTGACCACGCCACAATGTTGACCACGCCACAATGTTGACCACGCCACAATGTTGACCACGCCACAATGTTGACCACGCCACAATGTTGACCACGCCACAATGTTGACCACGCCACAATGTTGACCACGCCACAATGTTGACCACGCCACAATGTTGACCACGCCACAATGTTGACCACGCCACAATGTTGACCACGCCACAATGTTGACCACGCCACAATGTTGACCACGCCACAATGTTGACCACGCCACCACGCCACAATGTTGACCACGCCACAATGTTGACCCCGCCACAATGTTGACCACGCCACAATGTTGACCCCGCCACAATGTTGACCACGCCACAATGTTGACCACGCCACAATGTTGACCACGCCACAATGTTGACCACGCCACAATGTTGACCACGCCACAATGTTGACCACGCCACAATGTTGACCACGCCACAATGTTGACCACGCCACAATGTTGACCACGCCACAATGTTGACCACGCCACAATGTTGACCACGCCACAATGTTGACCACGCCACAATGTTGACCACGCCACAATGTTGACCACGCCACAATGTTGACCACGCCACCTCATTGATCACGCCACAATGTTGACCACGACACAATGTTGACCACGCCACAATGTTGACCACGCCACAATGTTGACCACGCCACCTCATTGATCACGCCACAATGTTGACCACGCCACAATGTTGACCACGCCACAATGTTGACCACGCCACAATGTTGACCACGCCACCTCATTGATCACGCCACAATGTTGACCACGCCACAATGTTGACCACGCCACAATGTTGACCACGCCACAATGTTGACCACGCCACCTCATTGATCACGCCACAATGTTGACCACGTCACAATGTTGACCACGCCACAATGTTGACCACGCCACAATGTTGACCACGCCACCTCATTGATCACGCCACAATGTTGACCACGCCACAATGTTGACCACGCCACCTCATTGATCACGCCACAATGTTGACCACGCCACAATGTTGACCATGCCACCTCAGGCACCACCACCGTGGTGACCAAGCCGCCACGAATTTCAGGACGGGGCCAGAGAGACGGGGCCAGGGAGACGGGGCCAGAGAGACGGGGCCAGGGAGACGGGGCCAGAGAGACGGGGCCAGGGAGACGGGGCCAGGGAGACGGGGCCAGGGAGACGGGGCCAGGGAGACGGGGCCAGGGAGACGGGGCCAGGGAGACGGGGCCAGGGAGACGGGCCAGGGAGCCGGGCCAGGGAGACGGGGCCAGGGAGCCGGGCCAGGGAGACGGGGCCAGGGAGCCGGGCCAGGGAGACGGGCCAGGGAGCCGGGCCAGGGAGCCGGGCCAGGGAGACAGGGCCAGGGAGCTGGGCCAGGGAGCTGGGCCAGGGGGCGGGCCAGGGTTGTGGACCACATCTCTTGAGAGTAGCAGGGAGAGAACTATTTGGGTAATATGCCAAGCCATTACGACAATATATCACTTGGAAGATTTCAGGACTAGGATTTATGACGGGACGGGGAAGGAATGGTGCCCGACCACTGGGACGGTCGGAGATTGAACGCCGACCTGCATGAAGCGAGACAGTCGCTCAAGAGGAGCGGACCCGGATCTTACAATAATGGAAGAACAGCATCTTTACTAACACTTAATTTGGAACAGTTAATCGTTATTCTTGACGGATTACTTTACTAGAAAAATAATTATCCCAAATTGTTAAAAAAGAAAATGAAACACCTAGGGGGACATTAAATAGGAAATAGGAAAACAGATCTTATTAAGTCAAGGAAGTATTAAGTATTTCCATGGATAAGAAACACAGTCAGCACTAAATGAACAACAGAAATATGAAAGTATCAGCAATAAATATTACGAAAACAATTAAGAAACTAAGACGAGTCGTGTAAATATCCGCGAACCATCCGACATGTGTACAAGCACACACACACAGTGCCCCAAGTACACAAGGGGGGGGCGGGGTAAAAGAAACAGGTAGAATCAACACGATCAATCAAAACACAAAAACATCGTCCACTACAAACATCGGTGGAGGACAGATGTCCAACACGGGCAACACACACATAACTCATGAACAAGAGAAAACAGAACATGTACAAACACATACATATACACTAACATACAACTATACATACAGATTCATACATTGTGTATATGGTTTCTCAAACGACGAGTAAACCATCAAATTAACAACAACTCTAAACAAACTCGTCACCAGGAAGAGTTCATATAATGTATGAGCAGCATATGAGATGGAAAATATAAGACCACAGTAATGAACATAAATAAGTCAAACTGCCACATTAGGCGGTGCCCGCGGGGGTCGAGCTTGAGCCCCCGACCGCGGGGGTCGAGTTTGAGCCCCCGACCCCATACCCGGGCTCCTGCGTAATGTTAATTTCATGCCCCCACCGGCACCACTTTGTTTCTCCGCCACCTGCAAGTCTTGCTGTCACCCACTGTGACGGTACGACTACAGGTACTAGAGGTAGTACCTGTAGTGTCTTTGAGAGACTTAAACGATCAGTGAGGGACTAGAGCAGTGGTCTTTGCTTTGAGGATAGCAAAGTTCATTTGAATGAACAGAAATACACACATGCTAATTTTTGTTTATAATTACTGATTGTATCATACACAAGAAACACCACACGGCCATCAAGTCCTGCAATAATTACCCAACAAGCCCTGCAGTACCAACGACCTCATAATCAGGAGGACAGAACAGAAGGGAGCAGCAGCTGCCATTAAACTACGCTAAACATTGAGAGTAGAACCATCTATAGTTTAACATCGCTCTTCCTCGTTCCATAATTAGGATCAAACAATTGTAGTTTACACGGTAGACATTTTGGCTAAATACAATTTGGAAAATAATGTAAATAGGGTGAAGTATTCTTTGCCGCCACTTTCATGCCTAATATACATAGATAACACATTGTCCAACCACAAGTTAGTCTTCTTTTGTATTCAGTAAACACTATCCCTGTGTCGTCCACATATCTGATGATCTTACTGGTCACTCCTGCATCAGGGTCGTTGATGTAACGTTTGTAAAGCAGCGCGCACAGCACAGAAGGGAACTATCAGGTGTAAGCCCCAGCCATTACGACAACCCATCCTCGACTCAAGTCCATTACATCCAGCGGTCGACCCCACAGACGCATTCATAAATTTGTACATGCTGTTCATTCAAAACGGGAATTTTCTCAACTATAAATGTATTAATATATTAGCATATTGTGCATATATAGGCATAGGTTAGGTGTTTAGGTTCTGTTGACGATTATTTGTGTTTGTAGTTCGTGGGTGAAGCATTTACAGCGATGTGGTTGGACAACCCGTCCTCGACTCAAGTCCATTACATCCAGCGGTCGACCCCACAGACGCATTCATAAATTTTAATATGCTGTTCATTCAAAACGGGAATTTTCTCAAGTATAAATTAATATTATAATATGTTAGCATATTGTGCATATATAGGCATAGGTTAGGTTAGGTTAGGTGTTTAGGTTCTGTTGGCGATTATTTGTATTTGTAGTACGTGGGTGAAGCATTTACAGCGATGTGATTCGAACAAAATTCGTCAGTGAAGCACTTGTTCCGGATATGTTCGAACGTCAGCAGTTGTGAGTCGTGTGTAAACCGCTTTTCATTCATAAACAGGTGGTTTGGCGGGTGCATGGAATCACTTTTGGATCTTTGTTTGGAGGACGGGCTGAATTTGGATCTGGAAGTGTTCGAACGTCAGCAGTTGTGAGTCACAGCTCCCTCCTCCAAACAAAGACCCAAAAGTGATTCCATGCACCCGCCAAACCGGGTGTGATGGGTTTATGAATGAAAAGCGGTTTACACACGACTCACAACTGCTGACGTTCGAACATATCCGGAACAAGTGCTTCACTGACGAATTTTGTTCGAATCGCAACGCTATAAATGTTTCACCCACGTACTACAAATACAAATAATCGCCAACAGAACCTAAACACCTAACCTAACCTAACCTATGCCTATATATGCACAATATGCTAACATATGTATAATTTTATATATGTATAATATTTTCTCAAGTATAATATTAATTTATACTTGAGAAAATTCCCGTTTTGAATAAACAGCATGTTAAAATTTATGAATGCGTCTGTGGGGTCGACCGCTGGATGTAATGGACTTGAGTCGAGGACGGGTTACCAAATTCGCTGACGAATTTTGTTCGAACCAGTGCTGTAAATGCTTCACCCACGTATTACAAATAGACAGCCCGTCCTCCAAACAAAGATCCAAAAGTGATTCCATGCACCCGCCAAACCCCTTGTTTATGAATGAAAAGCGGTTTACACACGACTCACAACTGCTGACGTTCGAACATATCCGGAACAAGTGCTTCACTGACGAATTTTGTTCGAATCACAACGCTATAAATGCTTCACCCACGTACTACAAATACAAATAATCGCCAACAGAACCTAAACACCTAACCTAACCTAACCTATGCCTATATATACACAATATGCTAATATATTATAATATAAATTTATACTTGAGAAAATTCTCGTTTTGAGTGAACAGTATGTTAAAATTTATGAATGCGTCTGTGGGGTTGACCAATAGAAATAATCGCCAACAAATCCTAAACACCTAACCTAACCTATGCCTATATATATGCACAATATGCTAATATATTATAATATTAATTTATATTTCAGAAAATTCCTGTTTTGAATTAACAGCATGTCAAAATTTATGAATGCGTCTGTGGGGTAGACCGCTGGATGGAATGAACTTGGTCTGAGGACAGGTTGTTCAGCCCGTCCTCCAAACAAAGACCCAAAAGTGATTCCATGCACCCTCCAAATCCCCTGTTTATGAATGAAAAACTGTTTACACACGAATCACAACTGATTTCGTTCGAACACTTCCGGAACAACTGCGTCACTGACGAATTTTGTTCGAACCACAACGCTGTAAACCCACGTACTAAAATTACAAATAATCGCCAACAGAACCTAAACACCTAAAATATGCCTATATATGCACAATATGCTAATATATTATAATATTAATTTATATATGAAATAATTCTCGTTTTGAATGAACAGCATGTAAAAAGCTATGAATGTGTTTGTGGGGTCGACCGTTGGATGTAATGGACTTGAGTCGAGGAGAGGTTGGGTTGTTGCTCATGTCCTCTGTTCGAACCAAAATTCTATAAATGCTTCACCACGTACTTCAAATACAAATAATCACCAACAGAACCTAAACACCTAACCTAACCTATGTCTAATTATACATATAATTTTTATGTATACAAATATTAACTTTTACGAGAAAAACACAATTTTTATTACACAGTATATTAAAATTGATGAATGCGTCTGGGAAGGACGGCCGCTGCTTTAAACATCCTAGTGTGAGGATGGACTGCATGAAGCAAGATCGTTGCTTTACTGAGTGGTCGTTTGCCACTGCGGGGTGACTGTTTCTCAGTCTCAGCATCGGGACTTACGTGTTGCCACTGACTTACGTGTTGCCACCGACTCCTTGCTCCTTGCGGAGCAAGGAGTCGGCTGGGCTGACATTTTCCTGTAAGATGGATATTGGAGTCATAAGCAACACTCTGTTTGATATAATGAACGTGAAATTGGAAGATCTCGTTGGTCTGCAGGTCGTTCACGAGGACAGAGTGGTGGTGAAGTTCGCCGAGAATGGCTTATTCCGGCAGTTTATCGACAAGTATGAGGATCGGGAGGTGCGGCTGAGCAACGGTCGAGGCTCTGTGACGGTGACGAACTTGAGTGTTGAATACATATACGTATTTATTAAAAATGCTAAGAGTGAAATGTCGGAGGATCGTCTCCATCGGGCTCTTGCCAGGTATGTGGGTGTCGAATTTATTTGTGTGTGTAGGCACACGTCCGAAGCCGTCAAGGGACTCATAAATGGTTACTGGACGGCTAAGATGGTTCTTCGTGGAAATGTGCCTTCTTCTCTATCGCTGGCTATGCGATCGGCTTCTTCTACCGGGGGCAAACTCGGACATGTTTCAAGTGTGGTCATGTTGGCCATATGGCTGCTGCCTGCACCACTCGGATGTGTAAACGGGTTAACCTGTTTAAGAAACATGATATTCCTCCTTTGCACGAGGAAGATCTCGCGGTTCTGAGCAGTGTTCCTTGTATGGGAACGGATGCAGTGGTGGTTGGCGCCGATCTGGGTTCTATGAGTGCTGCTTCATTGGTTTCTACTGATGGAGATGACGTCCATACTGATGTGTCGTCTCCCGGACGGTCTGGTGGGGGGTTTAACTCCCTCCGAGCCCGTGCATGACCCTGAAGGCCGGCTCCGAGGGCGGGTGTGCTGCGGTGACTGCCAAATCTGGTGAGGTGGTAGATGTGTAGTTCTGAGCCAATTGGTGTGCGTCGGAACCCACAGCAAGTGATCCGTGATGGTGATGTTGCGGCTCGGCCTGCTGCTCGGACAACTGAGGTGATGATGGCAGTGCATATGGAGGATGTATATTCTCCGAGTCGCGGTTCTGGACGACGTGAAGCAGATTGCATGTTGCCTGTCAGCGGTGGGCAGCACAGCCTGAAGCGACGGAAATTTAGGGTCTCTCTTCAGAATGTCCTAGATGGGAGGAGGAGGTTGGAACTCGGCACCCCCCCCCCTCCCCCCCTTCCTTGACAGCTGTGCAGTGTGATCCTATGGTTCCGGCCGACTCGGATATCCCACGTTCTGGTGGGGGCATGTCTGTGATGGATGATTGTGTTCCTAAAATTCCAGGAAGTGGTCCACCACCTGGAGGTACACAGAATGTGGATTGGTGGGATATTGTGAAGGGGTCCAGGAAAAGTCGGTAGGGGGCGATTTGGTGGTTAGGCTCCAGTAGAGTTCTGGGGGTACGCATGCCGATGTGGTTCCCTCTCTAGCAGTTTTAGGGGATGTGGTTGAGGGCTCTTCTGTTGGGTGCACTGCTTTCCTGGGATGTAATGGTAGTGTTGTATGAGTGTGGTCCTCTCTGTTTATTTTCTCAATAGATGTGTGGATGACTTGTGCGAAATTGAACGTTAGTGTGGGTTTCTGTTTTTTTTTTTTTTTTTTTTTTTTTGCCGGGTCCTGCGTGTTCCGGTATTTTCTTTCATGTGTGTTTAGGGTGTGGATGACGATTGTTCCCGGGTTCCTGCGTGTTCCGGTAGAGTGTTGGAATATTTGTACTATGTGTGTGTTGGGTGGTGTTCCGTGGGTTGAGTGTGTGTGTTTAGCAATTTTATTTTTTATTTTGTGTCTTTTGTTTCTGATGTTTCTTTTGCGCCCAGCGTGGTTTATTGTATATTATTTGGCGCACCCCGTCTGGGTTGTGCAGGTACTTATTGTGTGTGCTTATGTATTTCTCTTTGTTGTTTCAATGTTTTTCAGTTAACGTTATTTGCTATATGCCATTTGTTCTGCTTTTTTGTCGTAATGTGTTAATTTCAGTTATGTATTTTGCTGTGGCTTTTGTACTTGTTTGTTGTATGTTGCATTTATGGATGTTGGTGCTTCTGTGCCTTTGTATTGAATGCTTAAATTGTCATGTTTTGTTTTATGAACAATAAAATAAATAAAAAAAATCGTCGCTTTACTGTCCAGGTGAAGTGGTTGAGCAGTACAGAGCCCTGCAGCACGCAACTCAGTGACATCCACCCACTCTGACTTCACTCCATTTATGCTGACCCTTTTTTCTGTTCTTCACCCATACCCTTCTTATGAAGATTCTCTTGCGGAGCTGTGTCGGAAGCCTTGTTGATGTCCTGGTATACAACACTATATTCTCCATTGCCAATTATCTCGAATATACTTGAGTATAGTAAATTAGTAAGACAGAAACGACTGCTTGTAATGTAACCTCTGTTGGCAGTCTCTTAACAACCTTTAATTTTCTATGGGATTTCTTACAGAATCTGAAAATATTGCTTCCAGGATTTGTCCCACAATCAATGTAAAACTTACTGGTCAGTAGTCAACCCGTTCTCGCACTTGCTTATAGTCAATATTGGCTTATTAATTTAATAAGTGCATATGTGACATACTAATTTATTGTGAATATTTTAGTTTACCTTGAAAAGCTTAATGGAAAAC